TGATTTTTTGCATCCAGGTTTCAATTCCAAATGTGGGGAAAAAGAGCACATACAGTATGAGCCAAAGAAGGCACCACCTTCAGGGCTCTTAACATTTCATACACATATTTCACACCGGTTTTCATTGAATGGCAGTAATTGTTCCAAATATTCTTACCTTTTGAAATTTTAGATGTGAACATGTCAGTAAATTGCAGACATATCAGTTTATATCTGGTTACAAATTGGAACAAGCACAAGGTTTTCATTTTCCACAAAGATAGACGCTCGTTTCACCTTTAACTTTAAATTAAAACATATCTCGAGCTTGTGTGCTCACTACTCACTCCAACTGTAATATTTCTTCAAATGGCTAAGCAAAGCTTGTGTGTTTCTTTTCTAGGCGCACAGCCTTCAACTGTGGGAAGTCCAAACCCATATCCAGTAGGCAACATTAACGATGCAGTAGTGCTGGGCTGCAAATTCAACCCATTGAATACAAACGGCAAAGGAGTCACACAAATTGCGATAACCTGGGAAAAGGAGGGCCTGACTGGTGTTGTCTACAAGTACGCCAACGCAGTCGGACAGCAGCAGACCCAGAACCCGGATTTCATAAACAGAGCCCAGCTGTTCCCAGATGTCATCTCCAATGGCAACGCATCACTGCTCCTGAGGAGTGTCCAGGTCAAGGACGAGGGACTGTACAAGTGTTCAGTCAGTGCATCCAATGGTCAGGGTGAAGTCAATATACATCTCCGGGTGGCTGGTATGAGCTCCTTCTGTTTACTTAGTCTGTACGTCAGTGTCTCTAGAATCAGTTACCCATGGATTTGGAATCTGACCATTTTCAGTTTAGTAGAAAAGGTCTGTCTACCACAGAAACCAGGCTACTGGGTAGGAGACTGCTCCTACCAGAGAGTCTTTGGTCATCAACATTTTCATCATGCATTGTCCCACAAGATGTATAGTGTTAATAAAAATGTGAAGTTCAGGGTTAGACTAAAACAATCACGTCATTTGATTTTCCAGAATTGTGCGCAGCCTAATAGATTTTTAATTAAAATAATAAAACAGCCCTGTTCAAATGTTTTTTTTTTCATGCTACAGTACATAGTGCAGTGTTCTGCTGGCAGCTAAAGTGCAGTCTTTTCTGGGGGAGGAATCCAGCCCACACAGAACAGAACTCATAGGGTCAGACAGCTGAAGCCCAGGACGACCGGTTGTGCTGGCGTCCAACAAACAGAGCAGAACGTTGTACTGAGACTTCGGATTAAAAACACACGGGACAACAACAATGAAACCAGTGAATAAATAAACTCTTCTATGGGTATGTTTTATATTTCAGCTTATTCTTCTCCAACATTCACTACCCCAAATAAGACACTGAAGGCTGTGGCACAGAGGTGGTATCCCAGGCCGAGCGTTACCTGGACAAACTCTGAAGGAACCGATCTGAACGCGAGCACTAGTTTCATCAGCAACCCTGCCGGAATAGTTGAAGTGACGTCAGCGCTGACGAACTTTAATGTTTCTGACGTCCTCACCTGCACCATAGGGAACAGTCTAGTGAAATCCGTGTCTCAAGCAACGGTGACAGGTAAAGCATGATCGTGGCTCTCTGCATATCTGATATATTGTGTGTGTATTATCAGCTCATCCTTAGTGATGTGTTAAAGTGCAGTAGTTAGGTACGGAAGCGTTTTAGCGCCAACGAGAAACAAATCTCATTTATATGAGATAGTATTGCATTTATACGAGACAATTAATGAGTTTATACGAGAAAACGATTTCGTTTAAGCGCAAAAGTTAATTTGTGGACAATGTTGCCTACTATAGTAATGTATCACATTATATATGCAATAATATTGTCCCATGCAAAGTAGCATTGTGAAACTGCAGAGTCGGCAAAAACTCGGGTACAAGACATGTTTCTGCAGTTTCACATCAAGAAGAACATACGTTTGGAAAACAGTGTCATTTGTACTTGGCACAGAAACACGCGTTTAACCTGGGAATGGTTACTGACACGGTGATGTCCATGACAGAACACGTGCTCCTTTAGAGTATTTTTTTTCCAACAAGAGGAGTGTGACCATATCCTGCTGTTGATGAAGTCAATGCTACTTTGCACTTGACAATATTATTGCATATAGAATGCGATATATATTTATATAGTAGGCAACATTATTCTAAATTAACTTCTGTGTTTAAACGCAATAGTTGTCTCACATAAACGAGATACATTGTTTTTTTTCTGAGGCGCTAATAAGCTTCCGTAGGTAGGTAGCAGAACGTTAAATTTCTTCTAAACCCGATGTCTTCTTAGATTGAAATGGATACGTATGCGATATTACCATAGTTTACTAATAGTTTAAAGTCCCGATGACTGCTCCGATAACATGGCCCCATGAGATAATACTAATGCTGTATATACAATACTGTATCCTTTGCTTTACTGAAAATCCGCTATATTTGTATTTCCCCTCCCTGCAGACAGTGGTGTAAGAGACAGTACTTACTTCGTGTTCAGCAGTGCGGACCAACGCCCATTGGACCCTAAGTCTGCTGTAAGCTATGTTCTGCTTTGGATGTACTGGACTGTCTGTTGACTTGAATGTTGACCGACGCGAGTTCAAGAAGCTTCATCAACGCATATGAACTGATGCTGTGCGGGACGGGTTGAGGATTATTGTATTGTATCAGGATTAAAAAAAAAAGAATGATTCTCTTTCTCCCCGAAATAAGGACCTAGTTGGTAATGTTTCCATGCAAACAAGCCACCCCTGTTAAAGAAAACAGCGAAGATTCATGCGAGGAATTAAAAAAAGCAGTGCGGATTGTGACCAGATAATAAGAATGGTAAATAACAGTGGTATTTGGAAGGTTTATTCAGGACAAACATGGAGGGAGGGCAGACCAAACTAGAACACCCCGAGGCCTCGAGATCGCTGTAGTAGGATGTTGTAGAATAGTTCAGTTACGTGTTCATGGACGAAAGCAAGTGTTCACTGGAAAGAGAGGAGCCTGTGGGTTTCCTGCAGCTGGGGCGGCAGTGGACGGGTGGGTCTGTGGGTGACGGTGTTGGCGTGCAGGAGGGACATCATAATACAGCCCTGTCGCCGTGTTTACTCTGCTGAGCCTGGGCAGGCACTTCGTGGTTACAGCAGTAAGCCCTGGCGGTTTCTCGGAGTTTACAAAAGTAACCAGAGCCAGCAATCATACGCGGGATGACATGCCCTGCCCCACTGCGCGGTAATACTACTTTTGAGTCGAAGACGTCAGAACGTGTTTCCAGTCTTTTGTGCTGTTTAGGTGCTCGTGTTTAAATATAATGGCCCGTGGTTTTTCTGCTATATACAGTCCTGTGCTCCAGTACTCTGTTGAAACTCAGACCTCCGATGTTAAACTTTTAATTATTTCGCTTTACGACGAAATGATTTATATTGTATCGTGTTATTGGTGATAATTTATTTGATGGACTCCTTTATCCATTCATATGCCGGGGCATGTTACTGGCGCCCAGCACTGTAATGTGAGTAAAGTTCAGTACTTCGCTCAAGGGTACAACAGAAGTGCCCCATCTAGTGCTGCATTTCAGAAACACTGCAATAACAAACAGTGGTGCACTAATCATCATACACATTCTATACGCGCCGTTTTACTAGAATCGTTTGTATATTTATACGAAAAGCCGAAGGCTCTACGAAGTATATATTGAAAATTATGTACAATTTAAATACTGTCAAAAAAACTGTTTAAATATACTGGATGGTTAAATGAAGACGTCACCGTGTTCATGTACATTTCGTTTATTCTCCTGCTTTTTACCCGTGTTTAGATAAGTATCAGAAATTCTACAGCCTTTGAAATACTCAACAATATTTGTCTGTATGCTAATTTAAAAAAACACAACACAATGTAACATGTTGTTTCATAATCTGTTAAAGTATTCCATTTGCCTGTACAGTGTAGTTGTAGTGTTTTAAAAGCTGCACACAATATTAGCAGCTATAAAAGTATTCTAAATATATGTCACCGATTAGTGACAGACTGACACTCATGTTATAACAAGAAGTGACATTATAAAATTAAAGTCCAATAAATATGTACTCCACGTTCCCTATTAAATATTGCCATTAAGGCATTACGTTTGAATAAATGTCCTTTGCACTTTTGTTTCGTCAGTTTCTCGAAATAAAATGTTTAACAGGTACCCTTCGTCGCTGTTGTCTTGAGTGTATCAAATTCAGAGAAATTTATTTTAGTTATCATAATGGAAAAAAACAACAACTTGAATTCTCCATTTTGTCAAACGAGTGTCTGAGCCAAAAATATATACTCTAATGGTTTTATAGATTCAATACATTTTTAATTAAGTATAATTAAATTTGTCTTGATTTTATAAGATTTTTTTTTACCAGAATAGCGCTAAGCATTTTGAATGTGTAAAACTGGTCATCGGATCGAAGTTGTGGACTGAAAGTCTGCTCTCTACCGTGGTCTATCGATCCAGCAGGTGGGGACAGAGCATATTCCTCTAGGAAAAACTGTGGGAAGAGCTGTCTTTTCTGCTGCAAGTTATGCTGAACCGCGCCTCTCTCGCAAATGGCCTGTTCTGAGTGGAGAGGGGCGGTCCGGTCGGTGAACTGAGGTGTCCGAGTTAAAGAGAAGTGGCGAAAACGCTTGAAAAGTTTGGGATTTCATTATATACATATCTAATTATGTGAACTAGACGCAAAAAGTGCACGCAGTGATAAGGTTGTGGTGGGATGAAAGTTTAAAACTGTGCAGGAATTCGGTGTATCGTTGGGATTCAGACTCCCGTGCGCCGAGCTGCTCGGCTGCTGGAAGTGATCTTGGTGAAAGCAAGCTTTTGCTGTGTTGCTCTAGTGAGGCCGATTTATGTCTTTTGTAGTCACGTTTCTTGGAAAAAAAAAATCCTTGTAGCTGAACGGGGTTCGGAGCTGTGTTCGGACACTGTTGTTTGTGCCGCCACGGTAAGCGACCGAAGTCGCCGCAAGCTGTCGCATTTCAAGATGTCACTGAATGGCGAAAGGGAACTGGGGGGCGATCCGGTGAAGCCCCCCGTACTGGACCAGGGTACCGCCTCCAGGGCGAATGGACAGGCTGTCAACTCCAGGGCGGTGTGTTACGTGTGCAAGCACCTTTACAGTGACCCCAAAATCCTGCCCTGCCTGCACACTTTCTGCGCGGACTGCATCCGGCGACTGGAACCGGTTTCCGGGCCGGGGGTTCGGGGAGCGGAGGCGTCAGCCCCGGCCCGCCCGGGGGAGCGGCCCTCGGTCACCGTCCTGTGCCCGGTGTGCGACTCGGAAGCGCCCCTGCCGCCCGGCGGGGTGGACGGGCTGACTACAGACCACCTGGCCCTGAACGACGTTCTCCTAGAGAGCCTCCTGGACGAGAGCTGCGAGCTGGCGTGCGACCTGTGCGGCGAGGGGTCGGCCGAGAGGCGGTGCGGCGAGTGCAGCGCCAACCTGTGCGAGTTCTGCTGCCAGGCGCACAGGTGGGTTGCGCCTTGCGCTGGGCTGTGCCGGGGAGACGCGAAGTGCAGTTTAGAGATGACCTGGTTATCTAGGGTTGGATAAGGATCTGATTTTGTCGTTCTAAATGAAGCTCCTAATTGGCATTTCTTAACCTCTCCTGCAGTTTATTGAACGTGCGCTCTATCTGCCTCTCTGCCTTGGCAGTCCACACGGCGGACGTATCTGAAACCTCCCAGGCTCATGGGGTCTGAGGAGTCCGCCCGGTCGTGTCCGACCTGCGGTGGAAAGCATGGGGCCTTCTCGTTGGGGAGGTCCCAGGTGACCCCTGCCGGACTGGCGCGTGTCTGTCCCTGCAGGAGGCAGAAGAAGACCTCCTCCCACGCCGTGGTGCGTCTGCAGGACCTGCGGAGGAGCGGGCGGGTGGCGATGCCCGTGCTGTGCCCGCTGCACCCCGGCGAGGAGCTGAGGCTGTTCTGCGAGACGTGCGACCGGCCGCTGTGCCGCGAGTGCGTGGTGGCGGCCCACCGGGAGCACGCGTGTGACTACGCCGCCCACGTCCTCCCGCGGCACGGGGAGTACATCAGGCAGCTGGTGCGGCGCGTGCAGCC